TCCCGTACAGGCCTGAAATTTTTTTCAGGTCTGATTTTCACTATTGCTCAAATAGTGCTTTACTGCGAAGGATCGTTCTCATATACGTCTCATAACCGCAGTTCACACATATGTTTCATATGTTTGTTGTTGTTTGATTTATCATCTACGGGTTTATATCGAATTAATTTGATGGCCTGCTCCCAGTTGGCTTGTTAGCTCAATTGGTAGAGCGCTGCACTAGTATCGCAGAGGTCAGTGGTTCGAATCCCGTACAGGCCTGAAATTTTTTTCAGGTCTGATTTTCACTATTGCTCAAATAGTGCTTTACTGCGAAGGATCGTTCTCATATACGTCTCATAACCGCAGTTCACACATATGTTTCATATGTTTGTTGTTGTTTGATTTATCATCTACGGGTTTATATCGAATTAATTTGATGGCCTGCTCCCAGTTGGCTTGTTAGCTCAATTGGTAGAGCGCTGCACTAGTATCGCAGAGGTCAGTGGTTCGAGTCCCGTACAGGCCTGAAATTTTTTTCAGGTCTGATTTTCACTATTGCTCAAATAGTGCTTTACTGCGAAGGATCGTTCTCATATACGTCTCATAACCGCAGTTCACACATATGTTTCATATGTTTGTTGTTGTTTGATTTATCATCTACGGGTTTATATCGAATTAATTTGATGGCCTGCTCCCAGTTGGCTTGTTAGCTCAATTGGTAGAGCGCTGCACTAGTATCGCAGAGGTCAGTGGTTCGAGTCCCGTACAGGCCTGAAATTTTTTTCAGGTCTGATTTTCACTATTGCTCAAATAGTGCTTTACTGCGAAGGATCGTTCTCATATACGTCTCATAACCGCAGTTCACACATATGTTTCATATGTTTGTTGTTCTTTAAATTAATGTTAATTAACTAAAACTTACTTAGATCACGATTTTTATTTTAAACCAAGGCTTTTATTCATAATTTCTAAATAAGATATTATCTCAGTTCTTGCAAAAGTCAATTTTGAAAATCTGCATATGCCTTTTCTTTGTTAGAAAACCTTAATTGTAAAATTCAATTTTTCTTATTAACTAAAACTTACTTTGAAATATGTGAAGTTACGAAAATACCGAGATTTCGCTGAAAGAATTTGTTCTAACGCCCCGGCCTGATCAAAAGGACACTCTCAGTCGACTATAAGTAAAACGCTCTAAACTAATTTCCATAAGGAAGATTTGCCTAAAAGAAAACACAATCAATCCCTGCCAAGTGTAAGAGTTTTTTTTGCGTCATTAGACAGTGTTTACATTTCAAATCGCCGCAGGAAGCATAATAAGTATGGTTAATGAAAGTGCATGGATGGACATTTTATCAAGCCGTGTGTTGCATGATAGAGGATGATAATACAGTCGGCTACTAACAAACATGAATGGATGTTTTTACATGATTATGCAGTGTTTAGATAACAATGCTAAATTTGGTCAAAAGCTTGAAATGATCGTTTGCTATAGAAGAAATAGATATATATATATCGAGAGAAATGTCCCTTTTTTATAGGAAAAGTAGAATAAATATAGCTAATAAGACAGCCGAATAGAAAGAAAAATATGACAGCCTAGATAAGAGACGTATCGGGGAAGAAGCGTAAAAAAAAAAAAAAAAAACCAGTAGGCAATATTATTACCTTCTACGGAAAAAGTGAAAGACGCGTCGCTGATCCTAAGGTCCTCGTAAACAGATGATCTGCTTTCCTATTTTCATTGTAGAATAAGTCGCAGTGATTTAGAAAATAATATCCTTCCACTGGTAACACATGAAAGCGAATTTCGTCAGGACATCCTCGAAATGAGGTTGACAAACCTCTACGTGCGTGTGGCGAAAAAAATATTTAGTGGTTTTACAATTCTGTCTCTGCACCTCTCAGAGTTGTTGAAATTTCCTCGATCTATTTCCTGTTTCCTTTTATCATGGCTCTTAATTAAAATCAATATATCTCAAAGCTGTCGGAAAATTCGTGGTTCCCTGACATTGCTATCCATTATGTGGAAAGGATCGCTCGACAACGCGATGCATGACACTTTTAGCGCTATTGACGATGGATCCACGAATATCGCAGACTGGCATAAAATACACAACGACCGCTTAAAATTTGTGTAATTCGGGAAAACGGAAGGTCATGTTTGCTTTTAGACGATGTAAAGGACACCGGCCATGTGAACTAGCGGACTTTGAAATGTTCACGGACTAGGGAAGGAGCAGAATTTGAGTGAGTCCAAAGAATCCTAATATAAATTACTACATTTTTTGATTGGTCGTGACGGAACTTGCATTTGCTAAATAATGAAATCAAACGTATGCAGAAAAAAGTGTTTGCCGTCGATTGAAATACTATTTCTGTCTCATTACGTCATCCATATTGAAATTATCGATGCTTCAGCTGTTTTTTTCTTTTTGACAACAAGATAATTCTCACTCTGCAATGAGAACTAAAAATGATTTTATAGTATGGAATGAACAATAAATACTATAGCTGGTCACCTAAAAAAAACTTATTTCGAAGCTAAACTCGTTAAGCGACCACCTTTTGTATCTTGATCAAGACTAGTTAAGCCTGCTGTCGTTTAGTTCACCTCCGAGGAAGTAAAGAGTCAATTGTCCCAAAGTATCAAACATCAAGATTTTATTAGAGCAAAGCTGCTATGTCTTTCGAGGAAAAAGAGGAAACTATTTCGTCATGTAATCGTACATGTTGGTGAACATAAAACACGACAGATAATTTATACAAGGCTAAAAGATTAAGAAAAAATTATTAAAAATTATTAAACATTTTAAGAATTTTTTCTTAATCTTTTAGCCTTGTATATATAATATCTCTTAGTAAGCGAACATTATAGACATAAAACACGACATTCGATCGAGCTCTGAATTGGCTGTTTAAAGTGGCAGTGATGATCCGCATTCACCTAAAGATGCATTGGCATGGTAAGGATGTTTTGTTAAAGGCCATTCGTTAAATAGCGTTGTGCGAGTTGAAATTCGTCCCAGATCTTTCTTTCTTTGTGCTGAAATATCGTATTATGAGGTGAGACAAACAGGATAACTGAAACCGAGATTGAAACGAAAAAAATTCTCAACAACGTTTAGGACGAGTTGGGGACAGTCTCAAGTTCAATTTTGTGGAGCTTAGGAAACCGCTGGCACCTACGGAATCCGTGGAACCAGCGTGACCAGCGGAGCAAGTGGAAGTCGCGGAACCAGTAGAACCAGCGGAACCAGCGGAACCAGCGGAACCAGTGCAACCAGCGCAACCAGTGAAACCAGCGTGACCAGCGGAATCAGCGGAACCAGCGGAACCCAAGGCTTTCCGTAAAAAAGATATTAAGAGAATAAAATGAAAGTTAAAAAAACCTTTACACTGTTTGAAATATCGTTTTCTGATATAAAGTTTATGGTAAAAATTATAAGAGGATTTGAATGGGGAAGAATGGTCGTGCTCTCAAACTTAAAAAAAATCTGTGGGTGAAGTAGTTTTGAATGAAAGTAAACTTATCTCGCTCCAGGGCTTGTTTGAAACTTTATTACTTAAGCGGCCCGTGGGAATTCGGTCGCGAACCTCGTTTATCTTCTGAAGAAGCACTTCCGGCTTTTCTGTGAAAGGGCAGGTTATCAGGCTCCAAAACTCTAGACAACATGTGTGGTTACCAGGTGTGTGGTTATTGTTGTTGCTGTTGCTTTTTTTTTTTTTTAACAGGTAAAACCTAAATTCGAGTCAGTGTGTTCTTTGAACCTTGAAATCCATTCATCTTGAAATGTGCTGTTTGAAAGGATGCTATCGATTATTTTTTATCAAAACGTGGGTCTTAACAGCGCTTATAAATATTTTTGCTGTAACTTAACGATCTTTAAAGCTTTCTCCTAATTAACCAATAAGAATTTTAACTACTCCCACGACCCGTGCTCTTCATACTATCGTAAAAATCTGGAAAGACTCTTTTGGTACATCATTCCTTGAATTTGCTAGCATAATTCACCAAGGACCTAATTAGCAAGAACTACGTATACTGGATCGGGCAAAACCTGGATATGGATGATAAGGCTATTCATTCAGGAACCGCCGGTGCCTTAGTCCTAATTTTTAAGGGAATCATTTTTTCACCAACTTTAAGAACATTCGTCTCATTCCAACATGGCGTCCATTAAACATTTACCATAAGGGGAACCTGGTTGCATTGCCGGATGTGTGATTGAAATACTTCTTCTGATGATACAAACGGAGTTCAAAGTAAAGATGCTTGCCATGATAGGGAGATTACACATTGGGTCAGCTTAAAGGGACACGGTCACGGTCTGCGCATGCTCGTGTAGCCGATCGAAACTTGAAAAAGTCTTCCTGACTTTTTCAAGCTGCATTCACAAATTCAAAATGCCGTCTAGCGGAGGATCCGGACACGGCCGTAAACGCATTTACTCAGGGCGGAAACGAAAGGTTGGAGACAGAAGGGAATACAAGAATGCGTGGCTGAGGAACCATAAGCGTATTTATGTGGAAGAAAAGACATTTAAGTTGTGGCTGCAGGCAAAATTTAATGCAGGTTATGAGTAATTCAGCGACAGCGATTTTACTGATAGGGAAGTAAAATAATGCCAGATATCACAGACATTTGTAGCATTTGCAAGGCAGATGTTTATTCTACTACACATTATAACTGGAACACAGGTAAGCCTCAGGCGAACTCTACGGCTTTCATAAATATAGGCAGATGACGACTGCTCGCGTTCGAATCCTGAAAAAAGGGAATACACTAATTATTTCGAATGCTTTTTGGAAATTCAAGCCCCAAAAGAAGTGAATGTATACAACTTTATATGTGTGAATTCAACTTTATATGCATACCCTGTTTCTGCAAGGTTTATTGCTTGTTCCACATTTACATTCATCTGTACACAGCACGTTTCTCCCTTTGCACGGGCGCCCACGACAACTATTTTCTTTGCGCTTCATCGTACAAGCACTTTTACATTTACAAAAGATCACCGAAGGTTCCTCAGTAAAAGAAATTCACTTTCATGAGCATTTGCTTTGGATAAACTTGATTTAAATGCAAAATATATGCACAATTCTTCAGCTCACTGATATTTCCATAATGGCCGTCGAGCGTGACAAGTTTCGGAGAGAGTGCATGCTACTGCGCATGTTAACCCGTGACAGTGTCCCATTAAGGTGATTCCTCAGAAAAACAAACTGACTTATCGAACAATGTTTATTAAACTTTCCTTAAATGTTCCCCACCAATGTCTGTTTCGAGAAACGCAATAAAAAAAAAGGTCACCGTGCTTGTTTATGAGATATAACGGGCCAATCTTACCACATTTGTGCCTGTACTGGCGACACTAATCAAAATTCCTTCGGTTCACGGTACATTTTGCGGTAGCTGGAGGCAGGGGTTTTTGAAGTAACACTTGAAGAAAAACCTGAGTCGTAGAAATTTTCGAGCATATGGTACGATTTGATGTATAATTTGTACACATCAACTCAATCCGTTCCTCTAGTCATTGCTTTGAAAGCCATGATTTTCACCCTATATCTTTTTTTTCTCATTGACGGATGACTTTTTTTTTAATTTCTCCAATTTAAAGGGGATAGTTTGCGCACCAAAATTATGCAATAAAAAGGATAGGTCACCGTATTCGACCATCATAATTCTTTACCCGGTCATTGATTGAAAAGGAATACCGTGCCCACGGAATGCGCGCACTTATTCGCCTGATCTCGTGATTTTTATGCGAAGTACACGGTGCGCTATGCAATACTGAAGAATCACCATAAATATACCTGTGAGAAATCTCTAGACTTGTTGAGCAAGCAGTTCACTTGAAGATTATCCGGCCTGCCAATGTATAATATGTGGGAGTCAAAGTTTGGTTTTATCAAATGAGTTGATAATATAAATTGGCCACCGTAAAGAGTTTCAAAGCTGACGTTTAGAGCGTCAGCCCTTCGTCAGAGCGAATGGAGGAGTTGTGGGTTGTGTGTGTTTAAATGCAGAAAATGGAGCTACGCTATTAGTGGGAAAATGGTAATGAGAAAAACAAGAATAAATTAGTTGAATTTAAAACGTTCGTCGATGCCGTGGGGATTAAGAGTGTCGATTTAAAAGAGAAACGTTTGGCCTTAGGATTAGCAGCTTTCCGAACTACCTAAATCTAAAGAAAGGCCTCAGTGGTTTAATCTATTTCACCTCCAATTCTAATCGTGTTTAGAATTAACCCACCGTATTCAATGAATGATTGACACATTTTTCTAAGGAAACAAAAGAGCGTTAAAGCAAGGGACTTTACCATCTTTGTATGAAGAGATTAGACAATAGGTTAGTAAAAGTTCAAAGGGTTTCTAAAACATTTAAAACATGTTGTGTAAGCCGTTTGTTTGAAACTGATTAATGAGGTAATATCTGTGAATGCTTTGAGACACGAGAAAAGAAGAAAAGAAATGATTTCAAAGAACAAGCATTTATTTGTGACGCACTTTGAAACTGTAAGCTGAGCCTATCCGGACAATTTTTATCGAGGAGAGACTTGGCCAAATACCGAATTGTTGACAACTAATTTCTGTCAGACTGGTAATTCTATCACGTCTTAACCTGGGTACCGAGGGTCACGTATCAGACATTTTAAGAGTCGGCGAGTGAGGTATCTGTGTTTATTCTAAGCATATAAGGGCATAGGTGAAAGTGAACTTATATTGTTTTTTTCCTAGAAAAGAGACCGCTATGGAACAGCAAGGTAACTTCAAATATAGGTTTCAATAGGGCTAGGACATGATTTAAGAACATCTCTTATTGAGAACGAGCAAGTTTATCGACGTAAGTCACAGACTGGATGAAGGAGAAACAGCCCAAATGATATCTAGTATCCTTCGAAACCATTGTTTGTCCCCTCACCGACGTTGCGTGACGATAGTAAACAACGGCTTCAACGGAGAGAAAAAAATATTCAGTAAACTTATTGAGATACTAAGTTTATTTCAGCAAGACCATCCGAATTCTTTCATCTTTGAGTCTTCGCTGCCATGTTCTCCTCCTGGAATTGAAGTAGGTTGACAATCTTAGGAATTTTTTACACTTTGCTACCTTCTTATTAATACTAAAGTCTGTCATTTCATATATTTTAGAGGAGTTAATCGACTACTTTCTCATTCATTACCCTTCTTGTCCCTCCTCATCTCCCGCCCGGAAAACTTCTATGTGCGGTTCCACGTGGCAAAGCGAAAGTTTGTAAAATAATGTTTTCGTCAAAATAAAAATCTGAAATGGCATACTTCGGTAATATTTTCAATAAGATCTTAATGTTGTCTAAGCCAGAAATATTGTAGAGAACGTTGTTGCTTAGTTGTCGCTAATTGAGAATGGCAAAATTCCAGGAAAATGAAAGGAAACTTTTCCGTTAATTTTTTTTATGAGGAGATGTAGGTAGGAAATAGAATAAGTAACACCTAGTTATTCCATGAGAAAGGAGAAAAGGACAGGAAAAGCATTTTTGCTGATCCATGGAATTATGTTTTTATTCAAATACATGCTTGTAAATATCCAGCCATCGGAGGGTTTAAGCGCGTTTTAGCGAGTATTATGTTTTCTTGGAAGGGTACAGCTATGACACAGCCAATAAAAACAAAGCATGTTATTACTGAATGATCTCGAGATCGACATGCAGAGACCTGCCATGACTGAGAGTAGCTCTAAAAATACAAAGCTTGCATATCAGTTGGCATTTCTTCGTATCTGGGGAAGGGAAAACTTTAATTTGCTCCTTAAGCTGCTCGTACTTGAGTTCACGTCGCTGCAGTATTTCTGCTAGAAATATCGGTATGTTTGGAGCGTATTTATCAACAGAGATAGAGTAACCGAGGTTTAATCTATTTATTTTTACTTTTTTTATTATAGTTGTCCACCCTTGTTGCACATTCTGTTTCGCTTTAGTGATGGGCGCAATGCAGTTCATGTTTATACTGATCGGTTTGGTGATCTCTGTATACGCTTCTGATAACCCAGGTAAGCGACAGCCACTTATGAAACATAACTTGAATATCAATTAATTTTGAATATCAACTACTTTCCTGTATACAAGTCGCTTTGCATAACAGGAACGAAATAACTTTTAGACTGCGAGCGCTGAAAACCAAACCGCGCCCGAGTCGTTCGTTCAAAGTATCTTCCTTTTCTTGAACATTTTGGGCTAAGATATCATTTTTTCCATATCATGACGTTCCTGAAGAAAATTCGCTCGAATTCACAGACCTTCCGCGATGCGACTATCCAAGAGGAGTGTGCACCTACACTAAAGATCCGTGTCCACCGGATATACCATATGACTGCCGAAACGAGATGTACTGTCCATTAGATACAAACAAATGCTGCTGCCGATATCCAAAACCAAAACCACGTAAGTAACAGGCACTCCTGATAAAATCTGTAGAAAATAAAACCACGTTGGAGAGGTTGAGATTCTGCGAAAGGAGCTGTGTCTTGACACGTTTGCGAACGTCACGAGTCTTTGGAATACAAGTGAGACACCTGGATGCAAGTATTGACTTATCTTACTTAATTCTCGACAAACTTGGTGTGAATAATACATATCACTAAAATACAAAAACGTTGATATTTTTCAAGCATTGTTACCACTAGTTTCCCATGAAAGACGTAGATATCGTCAGTTGTAATCATGAGATACCGACTCCATTCTTCAATTACTCCGCCCCTTTTCTCCTCTGTCTCGTATTACATTTTATTTTTCAAAGGAGAATGAGTTTCTCTTTGATTTTATCCCAGTAACACTTCCTCTCAGCCATCACCTTTTTAAGAGATCTGAATGTGATTGTTTTAACCTAAAGTATTTGAATAATTAAAGGTATTTACTTTTAAATAAATCTTATTATTGTGATGTTTTCTCGTAAAATTTGACCCTTCGTTTGGCTTTCTACACCGTTATGGGAGCTTTGAAGAAATTCGGTTGCGCCTTGCTTCCAAGAGTAGTACACTATACAAGAAGAAATAATTATGGCTTTGTTAGGTCGCTTTACAAACAATTTAATGTTTATAGACAAATCCTTCGAATTCACAGCTAAAACGCGATGCGACTGGCCAATAGGCGTGTGCACTTATATTGATGATCCGTGTCCACCGGACATACCACATGACTGCCGAGACGAGTGGGACTGTCCATTAAAAACGAACAAATGCTGCTGCCGGTATGTAGTGTTTTCTTTTAAATGAGCCCATAACTTTTACCCTATGTTCACATGTGTTACTTGGAAAAAACGTTTTCACAATTTGTGATATAAATGACAAAGGAGGCCTCCACATACATGCTTAAGCACAGTCTTATTGTGATCATTTGGTTTGATTCTTGAGTTTTTCCGTCCGATGTACTCATCTCACCGTTTCACTTCCAGAGGTGACTAAGGAGACTTTCCCATTACAATGTCATGGAGATTATTGTTTGATTTCACACCAAACTCTCAAAGATAAAATAACTGGAAACGCGTGGCAGAAAGGGCAGAAAGTTAGGAGTTACGGGACGGTCATTATGTATCATCGAGGGGTTTGGAGGGGAGGAAGATCTTGGGGGTCAAATGGTTTTCAGGGAGAACAAAGGAGAGGATATGTCCTCGCCAACGGAGCAGATACCACCCCACCCACGGGATAAATAATGATCGGTCTCTGAGTTCCCAGGACTGTTAATGATGACCGTTGGTTTCAAATGAAATTTTTTTACAGAATGGGTAGAGTCAGACAATGGAAAACACTATTATCAAAATGAACACGAAGTAACACAAAAATCAAGAACAAACCAAACGACAAAAATCATCGATATTTCTAGATCGTTTGTTTCGTATCTAATTTTTCANGTCCAAGGCCGAAAATTGCTATTAATAGTTTTCATGATCATTTTCACTGTGTTGCAGTACCAAATTCATACATGGGTCTGAGAAAATCGTGGACATTTAAATTGTGAAACACTTGCAAAGACAATCTAGACTTGTTTCCCATTGGTCCTAAGAGCTTTCAAGTACCAAGATAATGCCGTAAAAGGTTTTTATTTATTTCCTTTGTAACCCATTAATCCCACATTAAGGATCGCTTGCTAATTTCTAAAACAACTTGCTATCATTGGGGCTTCTAAACTATTTGCCGAATATCTTGGAGATTGGTGTGCCTGCGGAAGATTTCACTTTCTGTAAATGTTGAGGTGAGATTCGACGAATTAGCCTCTTGCTGCGCTGAGTACACAGGCTTCGAAATTTATGGTTGACATACCAAGTTAGAGTACGCTTGATGGATTTCGTGGCCTTTTTGTTGGGTAAGGAACTTTGTCGAGCGAAGGCTAAGACAAGACTTCGAAGACAACCGTTAGATTTATTCAGTCTAATAATCCATGCGGTGCAGCAGTCAAGTATGATGTTCTCCCTACCATAAGAAGTTGAATTTGTAATTATTAAATAAATAAGTCGACAGAAGGACACTTTTGCTTTATACTCCGCACCCTACTGTTTGGAATCACTTTTCCAAACGAAAAATTTCAACATATACTAATTTCAGTCTCGATTTGATATGTATTTGAACTTTATCACCAAAGTTTGGGTTGGCTCGTCAGGAAAGTGAGCAGCAATGTAATAGCTTAAGTTTTATTGGTGGTAGACTATATTCCAGGGGTTCAACTCAATATTCCAGAGTTTTTTTAATAACTATGTAGTCAATCAGTGTTGTCTTTGGTCAAACGAGCCTGTTGTAAAAATGGCATAAACATCTATATATAGTTTTTTCTCCGAAATGATATTTTTTGGCCACAGGGTGCTGAAACATGTGGATGCGTCAGAATGACACAATATTAATTTCTCTTTAATTTGCTCTAATATAAAACATTAGTGCAAATCAAACTCTGTTTTGACCTGCTTGATCACGAATGCTTAGATATCGGCTTTTATATATCGCCTGGGAGGTCAGAGGATTTTGGTTGAATCACGCTAAAATTTATCTGATTCTCCATAAGGCTCTGTAATATTGTTATGATCCCCCTTCTTTAGCATTTAATTGGCAGTCAATTTTCCATAGCCCCCCTTTTATATTCCATTGGCAGCGACTGCCCCCCTTACCAACCCCCCTACGTTTCACCTGAAAATCCTGAAGGTTTTTCAAAAGACGTCATGCGGGATGCATAAGTATGGCTTTCTGGAGTGCGTTTTGATATCTTTTCTAACACAGTCCCTTCTTGCTTGTTCGTATACATATTTTTGCCCATTATCACAAAACGAAATTTTGCATTTGGATTATTGCAGCATAACAACGAAATTGTGTTTCTCTCTTCCGAGATATAGGAATTTGGTGTAATCGTTTGCTAGAAATTTAGATGAAACGCTGGAACATACTTGAAAGTAGTACATGTTACAAAAAAAACACTAAACACGAGGTTCGGTTGCGAATTGTTCGGAAATGGTATCTCATGATGACGCTGTTCAAAGTAGCGTGCTTAATCATGAAAGTTCTATTTTCAGAAACCTGCCTGTTCATTGTGACCCTTGCTCACTTCCCGAATACTTCCGCAAAAATTCTTATTTTTTTTCCTGTTTTTCTTTGCTTTTGCAAAAATGAAAACGATGACTGAATATTTTAAACCTCTCGGTTGTGCTCATGGTTACGCTCGCTGATTTCCCGAAATAAGGTTATGCTTTTGTTTGAGCTTATATCTCAAATTTAAACAGCGTGTAGCCACGAGAGTTATTATTTTTATCAGTTCTGTCGTTCGTCTTTGTTAATTGTAATTAGTGTAAATAGTTCTCGTCTCGATAGTTCAGTTCTGTATTTATTAGTTTGTATTTTTTCCTGCTGTAAAAATGTAAATTAAGTTTGTCAGCGTTGTTTCATGTAATCGCCTTTGAGTATTGTGTAGCCTTGTTTAGTCTATTGTTTTTAGCCTTTATCCGCTATATAACATCGCAGTTGTAATTTTCATTCAGTCATTGTTATTCCGGAGTGCCGTACAGATCTTGTAAGTAGTTACGCTCTCGTTTGTATTTTCCTGTAGTTTTTCGTATTCCTTTCGTTGTATTTTAGTTTCGTTGGGTTTAAGTTGGCATTGTCAATTCTGTATTTTTTTTGTATTATGTACAAGTGAATCGTCGAGACAAAAAAAGGGTACGTATTTCAAACTGTGACGGAGTGTCAGTTACACAGCGGGTCATCGATTTCTTGGAAAGTACCTTTATACCCATCCGTTTCGTACTCGCATGGCGTATATTTATGGGAGAAAAGTACATCCCTGGTGTTTGGACGAAGCACAATCAAAGTTCATATCTTCGTCAATTTAGTTTGAGGCACAGTAAAAGGTAACCTGCAATCCTTAAGTGATATATCATGTAGGTAATTGCGCAGTTGTTATTGCTTAGACATGTTTTATGATTAGCTAAAGCGAAACCTGAACGTAGTTAGATTATTTAATTTTATTGGTACACCTACACCATATATGGAAATGGCGGCGTCATAATGATTAAGGGTCTCCCTGTTTGTCGCTCGCATTTTTGTTTTCTCGGAAAAGCTCGCTTACATCGCCACCGTTACTGTTCTAGTTCCAAACGAAATTGTCGAAGTTCATTTGGGAAAAATGGAGGGAAGAAGAGAAAGAGTGACAAAAATCTACTCTGCATTTCAGCATTGTTGAGGGGAGGCCGACCCGCGATCCCGAAATTTTAAAGCAGATCGACTCTCTCAAGAAAGAAATCGATAAAGAATGAAGAAGCACTGAAGCTAAACAAAGATGTGCGAGATCTACGAACGCAAAACGATAACCTACGGATTACTGTGTAGTCGAAGGATTAAGAACCAAAAACTCTGAGGGAGAAGATTAAGAAATTGGAAAGCGAGAAGATGACATAGGAAACAAATTTAAAAGCTGGTCAAGTTGAACTGGATTCTGTGAGAAGCGAGATCGCCGAAATGACAGATTAAAATGCAATACTAAAGACGGATGTTGCCAAATTGTCGTAAAGAATGGATGAAGTCACAAATTAAAAGATCTCGATGAAAGTATGAGGGAAAACTTGACTCTTGAGAAGAAAAATACAACGCTGGAGTTGACTGTCGAGAAACTATCGAAGAAGGTGGATAACATGACTGAAGATCTTAAAGAAAACATAAGCAAAAATAGGTCTTTAAAGAAGGAAGTCGACGATTTACGAGAAAGTCTGGAAATGACAAGCAATGCTCTGGTTCCAGCCAGGGCGAATGGCTTTACCGTTCATCCCTTCGACTTCGGCCGATCCATTAATTAGTGCGTCTTTGGTCCTGGGTGAATTATACTGACAAATCCAAAGAATGATGTACTAAAATGTGTTTTCCAATTCTTAAGACTCCAAGAAGAGTTACAAGATGAAACATATTGACTAAGATATCGATGATATTGAAGACGAACAGCAAAGGAAGGAAGCGAAAAAGAAATGGAGTTGATTAAAAGAAAAGCTCAAATGTAAAAGGCGACACATCAGAGCAATGACGTCCATCCAAGATGGCCAAAATATGACGGCTCATCCCGTGATTGATGAAACCTTCGTGGATACCTCAGTGAGTTTGATGGATCAAGCAGGAAAGCTGAAAGACTGGCATTCATTACCATGTGTCAATGAATTGACAGAAATGTGGAAGCAACTGGTTTAAATGAAGTAAAACTAAAGAACTAAGGCAAGAAATTTTAAACATAACCTTACAATATATGTTGGTATCATTGTAACGATAGAAATATTCAACATTCATGGGTTTGACTCGTATGAAGCCAAAACATCAGGATAATTT